AGCGGCCCAGGTGGGAGACCCCTGGCCTGCCAGCTGAGGAATGCTGGAAGTTGAAGTCCCCAAGTCTTAAAGCGGTCAAGTTTGGAGGCCTCTGGGCTAAATAAATATTGAATCTGGTCCTGGTGCCTGGTGGGGGGCCCTCCTGTCCTCCAGCGGTCACACAAGAGGGGGGAGCTGCAGGCGTCTTGCGTCAGTGAGCCAAGCTGCGTCCCAGGAGACTCATGCCCTCCGCCTTTCCTTCTCCCCACAAGTCTCTCGTGATCCCAGAGAAGTTCCAGCACATCCTGCGTGTCCTGAACACCAATATCGACGGGCGGCGCAAGATCGCTTTCGCCATCACTGCCATAAAGGTGGGTGAGAAGCCGCTGGGCAGCTGCGGCCGTCTTGATGGGGAGGGGAGGGCTGTGGGGCTACTGTATGATGGCCAGCGGGGCTGTGGGCGGGGATTGGCCCTTCAGCTGGGCGACAGGACGGAGAAGCAGTGATGCCTTTGCTGGGCCGAACCCTGCGTGGCGCCGGTGGGCCTGGTCATCTTCCCTGCGGCTCTTGCCAAGGTCTCTTTGGAGCCCCTAACGGCACATACAGGTGGTCCGTGGGTTACAACCCCAACGGAGCCAGAAATTTAGCCATTTCCTGTTGGTAAATGAGACATTTGCTACGTGAGTTGTGCCCCGTTTTACGACTTTTTCTTGCCGCCGTTGTTTAAGTGGAATCATTGCCTTTGTTATCTTGGTTGTTAAGCGGATCTGAGCAAGGTTGCAAAAGGGGAATCCTTGGGGCCCTTTGACCGTCGTAAATACGAGTCCTTTGCCAAACGGCCAAATTTTGATTGCATGGCCACAGGAGTGTCACAATGGTCGTAAGTGTGAACAACGGTCCTAAGTCCCCTTTTTCAGTGCTGTTGTAACTTCGAGCGGTCAGTAAGTGAAACATTTTATTGAACAAAACAATTAAAAACATTGAACATAGTGAAGTCGGTTTGACATAATTTTTGGTCGGTGTCACGTAGATATATATGTTTTCCTATATACAATTATTCAAATATAAGCGTATATAAATTGGTTTGCTCGTATATTATATTTTCCAACCTCATTGGTCCTCTTTTCATCTCATCCTTTCATTTATTCTCTCAGTGACTCTATTCCCAACTTCCACTCTGCCCCCACCAGCGATAGAATCGATCCCAAATTGCATAATATATGCCGACTCGTCTTTATCTCTCACCTGTAAAGTTTAGCTTGTCCATTTCAGCCCATATCAGGATTTTGTTTATTACTTTGTCTTTGCTCGGCATGCCTGTCTCTTTCCAGTTCTGGGCAAAAGCTAATCTTGCCGCAGTAATAATAGGTATAATCAAATATAGCTCATCCTTAATTGTATTTTTTTGACATGATTCCTAATAGAAAGCATTCAAGTACAGGATCTAATTTAAGACCCAACATTACTAAGTGAGGCGTTGTAAGTTGAGGACGGCCTGTATGCGCAGGGTCCCTACGGAGCTGCCTTAACTGTTGTCACCCAAACCTTGTTCCAAACACCACTAAACAGAGATAAAAGCAAACCCTTTTAATGATTCTTTACGAATTCTACGTGATACCGACCAAAAATTATGTCTGCTCTGACAACGTGACCCACACACACACACCCCTCGCCCGTATCTTGGCTTTGAACTCCCTCTGGACTGGCTAAGTGGTGGGAATTCAGAAAGCCAGATGTGTTGTGGTTAGCTGCCATGTTGGGGCACTGATCTGGGCCCGCCTGGATATCCGGAAGGCCGTGCCCATCCCGGACCCCGCACGCTTCTGCGGGCAGAAGCCTGGCGTCTTGCGGACCCCCTCGGGCTCCTTCTGCAGCTGCAGCGCCGCCAGGACATCGACCACCGGATCTGCTGCAAGAGACGGGGAGTGTTGTGGTTAGCCGGCAGCAGGTGCGGATGGCTGAGGAGAGCGATGACTCTGACGAGGGGCCGGGACCATCCGGGAGTGGATTGCTGCCTTCCGGGATTGTGGGGGGCTGGCAGCAGCGACGAGGAGGTTCCCGAGGAGCCTGTGCCAAGTGCACGCGTACGAAGGATTGCTCGGAGGAAAGAACACAGTTACAGCAGCACAGGCGACGCGGGAGTAAGGCTGCAAGGTCATGGCCCCTCCCTCCTTCAAGAGGATCAAAGCCAGGTTTGGGAAAGCGTTCTTTGCAGACAGCAAAGAAGCTCTGAAGCTCAACGGGTGGACATCTTAGTTCGTGTTTGGAGAATCTTGTCAATGAGTTCTTATCTCTTGGGTTTTTGGCAGCCTTGACCAACAACTTGGCCAGGCTCTTTCTTGTCGGAGCTAATTTATCTTAAAGGAACAGAATTCGTTATTAATCCTTAAATGATGGGGGCTGCTGACTTTGTCTGTGTTTGCTCTTTGGGAACCCAGTTGGGTCAGAACAGGGAGGGGCAGGCTGGCTGAGGATGGAGCCCCCTCCCCAAATCCCCTCCCCTTGGTGTAGCTGCCCTCCCTCTCCCCAGACCCTGCGCCCAACAAGGGGTGCCAGCTTGCCTTCACCCCCGCAGGCCGCCTCTGCCCAGGAACTGCCTCAGTGCCCAGATCCTGAGCGTGGCAGGTGGGAGTCCCTGAAGGGCTGAGGAGGTACTCCAGCCCCACTCCCACCCCCCATGCCTGCTGGGACCCTCCTGAGACCGTTTTTTTTGAGCCTTCGCTCCCCTGCCTGGCACAGCTGGGGAGGGTGCACGGAAAGCAGGGCCAGTCAGGAAAGGCAGCAGCCCCATGGCCGGTCAATGAGACCTCCGAGTGGGGTCAGTATGGACGATCTCTGGAAACCCCCACCGGGAGACTCGACTTAGTCCTTGAGGGACCATTTGAAGGTTACGAGGGCACTGAAGGAAGTGACTTACGACCGTGTTTCACACTTTATGACCGTTGCAGCAGCCGCCCCGGTCACACGATTTTTACATTCGGACCCTTGGCAACTGGTTCCCATTTACGACGGGTGTGTGTGTGTGTGTGTGTGTCGCACGATCCCCTTTTGCGACCGTCTGACAAAGGAAGCCCATGGAGAAGCCAGATTCTCTTAAGAACCGCAGTAGAGAATTGAAATATTTGATTGTAAATGTATTCACAGCAGCCAGAAATTGTGTTTGCAAAAAATTGGAAAAAACGAGAAAATAGCAGCGCAGGAGGAAGTCATTAAAAAAAGAATGGAACATGCTGAAATGAGTAAATTGACATTTGAAATTAGAGAAAAAGGAGATAAACAATATCCCAAGATATGGGATTTATTTTATCAATGGTTAGAGAGAAAAAATATGGAAACGATATATCTTAGATGACTTTATTATATAAAGATAATAGAACTATAGAGAATATAACATAAGGATGTATTACTATTGGATGAATGTTATAATATAAAATAATCCAAAAGGTTGAATATCTTGCATAAAATGATGGAATAAATAGTTATAGTCAAATAAATGATTAATGATGATAATAATATTTATATATATATATGGAATTGTTGGTATGAATGGTTAAAGAAAAAGCAATATTTGATAACTGGATAAGTTATGAAATTATCGAAGACGTGCGTTTAATCATAAAGTATTCTGTGAAATTAAAACATTAAAAGAACGAGGAAGGTATTGTAACAAGGCAGATCATGTCAATGTTAGGGGGTGAAGAAAAAAATATAACCAATGCTCAATACCTGCTGCAAAAGGTATATATGTATACATATATATGTTTTCTTAAGTTTTTGAGGGTACTTACATGTATGGCATTCAGCTTTGTTCGGGTATTTTCCCACGTCATTTTAGTTGTGCTTTTAAAGTTGTAGTTGTAGCTAGCACAACTATAATGACCCGAACAAAGCTGAATACCATACATACATATATATATATGTTTACATGTTTGTTTGTTGTTAATTTTTTTAAATATATGAATCTTAAACAAACTTTATTTAATAAATTTATATATATATATGTGTGTATGTATGTATGTATATGTATATGTATATGTATATGTATATGTATATGTATATGTATATGTATAT